CAAGTATAGTAGAGGTAGCAGTGATCCGACCTTTTTACTTACTACATAATTTAACAGAAGAGCAATTATTTTATTAAATTAATTGCTATTTTGAGTTCGTATAGCTCCAATTTTTTGAAACTCTTTTCTATGAACATTTAAAGTTTTTAATATTAAATAGTATTTTCCTAATCATCTTGTATTATAAGAAATTTGTTCAGATTCGAGAAACATTAAAACTCATCCTTTCTCCTACTTATTCTATTCTAGAAGCACAGTATTTTTTACCGATCGAATTATCGACAAAATACAGCTACGTTCTTGGCTTAGTAGAACTTATGTCATTCAACTCAATCCCAAATATTCATGAAAATTGTAGTAAATTTTTTGTCGGCAATCAAGTATTGTATTACCAAGAGACAGTTTTGAGGTTGAAAATATTAGGACATTTTTGATTAAGGTATTAGAACCTCTCTAAGTAACTCCTGATAGTAAGCCAAAGAATAATACGCTTGGAAGTGTTATTAAGTGGAGTCATACTATTGATTTTAAATCTTAAAACTCTAGGCGGTCGTTTAGGTTTTATTAAACAAGTTTTAAAAAATAACACCACTCACGTTTCAGACTTACATGTAGCTATTTTGAAGGTAAACGCACTACGATCGGTGTGTAGTGTCACTCGTGGAGCTTACGTAAATAAGGAAAAAGTGCACACGATTCATTAATTTCTCCCAGCTGTACCACATGGATATAAATTTATTGAAGTTTCTTCACAAATAATTTACGTACTAAACATTGGACGTATTATTGGTCATATACACTACGTATAGTGGATCAAGATGATGACTTAGTCCATTTTTGAGAAGGAATTATTACTTTAAGGTTGCTCATAAAACTTTTAGCATAATGAAGATTTTATACATTAAAAAAATGGTATAAACAGCTTAACATGTACACTAGGACTTAGTCCACAACGAACAGTCGATCCGTCGAGACGTTGTAAAAAATAGTCCATACATCCGAAACTCTAAAACTCATTAAAATATACAGTTTATAAAAAGTCTAGCTCTAAAAATAAAAAGCCCTGGTGGAAAATAAATTTGACATCTTTTGTTGTCTAAAAAATAAATGAGATTCTGAATGTTAAGTATCCAGTAACGTTTGACGAATCCATCGCGCATTATGAGATTCATGCTCATCAGCCATATGCAACATCAACATATGGTAATAACGATGAAATTTGATTATCAATTGAACGTCAAGACTTTTGTCTTTTACCATCGCGCAGTTTCTTATACGTTTACGGAAGATTAGTCAAATTAGATTGAAATACAGCAGTAACAAATGCGGAATTGGTCAACAACACCATCTGTTACCTATTCGAAGAAATACGATACACGATAATTGCTATAGAATTAGACACTTGTAAAAATGTTGGCTTTACAATTCTGATGAAAAATTGGTTATCACTTAGTACTAATAAAACAGTATGAACTATAAATTTACATTTACTAAGTAATTGAGAAGACGAAGAAGATAGTCTATTTTATAACGCCTAATTTTATGGCATGATTCCACGTATATAATTATTAGTATGATTCTAAGTTTTGCTGAAGATTATTGTAAGATAGTTGTTGGTGTGAAACATGAGCTTACACTAACAAGATTTAGAAATGATTTAAACGCAGTGCTGTAAACTGTTATTAATACTGACAATAACTATGTGGTAGCAGTTTGGGATGATTTTCAAGTCTTAATATTAAAGCTTGAATGTGTTATGCCCTATGTAGTAATATCAGATACACGTAAAATTCGTCCATTGAATTATCTGCAAAACGATAAGTTTATATTTATAAGTTATCGAATTTGGGAATTGTATGAATATCCACTCTTACCTGACACTCTTACCTGATACATCCAAACATATTTGGACTGTTAAGACATCTAATAAGTTAGAGAAGCCGCGTTATGTTATTTTAGCCTTTGAAGCGTAACGTACAATCAAAAAGCTGTTAGCGCTAGTATGTTTGTTTATTGCAATGTAAGAAATGTAAATCTTTGTTTAGATTCCCAATATTATTCTTATGGTGATCTCAGTCTTGATATAACTTATAATTAGTATGCATTGCTGTATGATATATATGTTTTCAAAGTTTGTATTATTGTACAGTTTGCGCGCCTGCATTAAGTAAATACTACTCCAAATAGTTTTAATTGTTATTGATTGCTCCAAGCAAAACGAATCATTAAAAAATTCTCCAGTAGATGTGCGAGTAGAATTTGAACTACATAATCATTTTTCAGCTAATACATCAGCTTACTGCTTACTATAACATAATCGTGTAGTTCAGTGCAATCCTATGAGTAGGGATGTAAAAAAACTTATGTAAAGTGAGGGAATTAAGCTAATATGACTAATGCATAGCTTTGCTAACATCATTTGTCTTTAATCGTCGTGAAGAAAAGTTAGAGCAGTTGGAGCAGAGTAGAAAAAGATAACAAACAATGACAAGAAGAGTGGAAAAAATTAGAGAAGAAATACGCTAAGGAATGGATGGAAAAAGAATCCAAGAAAAAATCAAAAGATAATAAGTGTTGTGAAATCCTATAAAAATTATTTTTCTTTAAAAAGTTATTACTCTTTAGCTACTTCTCCGAAAAGTGTGTTAAAAGATTCCGTACATTCTATCGGCATTCTCTTATTGAGCTGTTAATAAATGTTTAAGTGTGTCGCTTTGGAACAATGAGGGATGAGAATTCCATATGGTAATTTTGCTAAGATGTCTGAATAGGTAAGTACGCGCAAACGCGTCTTACTATTTGGCCTTATACTTTTTGGCACAGTCCACATATTAGTCATATATGGTGATTTCGAAAGTTTGATTTTACTTTACTTTAGCAGTTTTTTTATTTCTTTTTTCATCTGTTCTCTTAATTCTGCTGGGTTCCTATAGCACCCTGCGGTCATTGGTTTATTTGTTGTAGTTATGTTATGTTTCATTTAATTGTGGCTTTAACTGGCTCCTCATCAAGACCAAGTGTATTGTCATCGTACATATTTCCTTGTTCTTGATTATTTGTCTTCAAAAGTTTAATTATTGCCTTGTTAGTGCCCTGAGCATAGTCCCTTTCGATGCAGTTTGGTTCGACCTCTTACATCATTTGACATCTTAAAAAATCAATAACAGGTACCGGTATGCTTACTGTTTTATTTAGTGTATTCATGAGTTTTGCATAAAGCCATTCTTAGTTATTTGTGGATAGTAAACTTTAACATAATGCTCTATTTATTATTCTATGTATAGGAACTTATCCAACTTTTATTTTTCTCTGTTATCCTTTACGTGGGGTTTGATCACTTGTTTTTATTTTGCGAAAATTTCAAACAGGTCTTGGTCAAATGAATTTATCCCAACTCCATTTAAATCAAAAATATTTTTTGCGTTACATGTACGGCTTCCATACGACTTGAAGATGTACCGCATTATAATACCTTTCACATTTATTGGGAATGTGTTCGAGACTATTCGTAGACTACATATAAGGCTATTCAGTAACATCGCTGCTATACCTAAAGTGTTACGTTTTTCATGCGTAACGCCCACGATTTAATCTAGGTTTTTTGTGTCAATGAGACGCTTTAAAAAATACTTTCCTTTTTTGGAATCACAATTTCATCTTCTGAGTAGGCATAAAATTTCGCTGCACCACTTTTTAGCTAAGGACTGTTTGTATATACTAAAAAAGGGCTTTTTTTATTGATTTACGCATTTTTAGAACAATTTCAAAATTGAGTATATTTTTTAATTAATTCTGGCTATTATAATTGTTTTCCCTGGGCGCATAGTCATTGTAATTATTTTCTTGTTGCTAATTAAAACCGTTGTAATTGTAACTTCTAGGTGCGTAATCGTTGTAACTACTCCCTTATTTCTAGTTATATTATTTATTTATTTATTTATTATTGATTATGAATATTACATGTTATTTCTTCCCGCACATTTAATTCCTTTGTTGTAGTTGTTAAAATTTCTATTCCACTTGTTTGGTCTCTTATTATACTATAATTATTATTTCATGAAAAGCGATTATTACCACAAATATTTTTGTTATTACTATTAGAGAACCCATTGATATTTTCTTGTGAAGGGTTATTGACGTTTCTGAAGCAAAAATTTTTTTTTTCTATTAAATGCAGGCCTACCTTCATTAATTTTGTTTTTTTCTCCCCACATCTTTTGAGTGGTTCTTTTGGTTTTCGGGACTTTTAATTTTTCGTTCTTCGTATCTTTTTACAGCTTTTTATGGCCTATTATTTCTTTAATTTTAAGGAAACACTTATATCCAAGTTAAAATAAAAAGTGATGAAAATCGCTTAATCGAATGTTTTTTATACATTAAAAAAAACAAAAATTATTATACTACCGCAGTTTTGTGATATTTAAAAATCGTTTAAGTAAGCAGCAGATTATAGTGATTTTATCTATAATCTAAATGCTACTATACTTGCTGAATAAAGAAAAAACTAATCATCTTAAAATAAAATTTAAGAAAACATTGTATTAAAATTCATGCAAAAAGTGACTGTTAATTTTGACGAAAATTTTTCTTATAAATCAGGTTATTTATTAAACAACATTTCAATATTAAAAAAAAACAATTGTTTGAAATCATAATAAATGCGTGTTTATAACAAAGTGTAAAATTTGATAATTGTTTTAACCAAAACTTTTCTTCGAATGAATACTTTAAGATAATTTGAAGACTTCTAAGGTAACAATATTGTTTAAAAAAGATTTAATAGAAAAAGTTTAAAATATTGTTGAAAAAAGAATAATAATTGCTCACAAGAAAATACAAATAAAAATAAAAGTTTAAAAAACTGATTTGATATCGTCCAAGTTCAAAAAGAAAGTACTTATAAAAATACCTTATTCATATAGCATGAAAAAAAATGAAATAATATTGGGAATTTATAAGAAATTCATCGTCAAACGATCGAAAAAAAAGAGGATGTTATTTGTCAAAAGAGTTGGTTATGACTGCATAAATTAACAGCTTTAGATGGAGCGTCGAATGATAAAGTTTTTTATCATTTGTTGAATAGGTACAGAGATATTTTTTCTGATAAAGTAGGGCGTGTAAGCGGTACGGATATAAAATTAAGTTGACTCATAATAATTCAAAAATAAAGGCTACGTATTCGGTCCCACTAAAGTTAAGAGAAAGGGTTTGTCTTGATAAAAATGATTTATTAATAAAGAGTACAATAAACAAGTTATGGTTAAGCGTCATGAGCCGAATATCTCTGCTCAGTTGCTGCGAGTCTTTAAGATGACTGGAGCTTTCTGCTTTACAGGAAGTAGGGTCACCCGCAACAAGTGTGTAATTGATATTCTTGCACTTGTGTGTGGCCCACTCCCCCGCGCTGTATCTTAGTTTTTTGGCGAGGCTCGCCGCTGGCGCGTACTGCAAGAGCGGAGTTAGAAGACGGATCTGCCCCATTGAGGAAAGTAGACGCTCCTGCGTAGCAGTAATTTTTTCTTGAAAATACAAATGAAAATAAAAGTTTAAAAAACTGATTCGATATCGTCTAAGTTCAAAAATTAAGTACTTATAAAAATACCTTATTCATATAGCATGAAAAAAAATGAAATAATACTGGGAATTTATAAGAAATTCATGGTAAAACGATCGAAAAAAAAGCTCAACAATAGTTGAAAATTTTTGGTACATCTCGTATTTTTATATTTCTCCGTAAATCATTGAAAAACTTTGTCGTTGCAATATAAGGATAATTTTTTTTTTTGATAGTACTGCAGAAATTCAAGTATTTTGAGCCTAATTCTATGTTGTATGTACGTAATATTTATAAGCAAAACACTGTTTCGTGGTAAGAGGAATTTTATTTACAAACTTATTTTCACTCATAATTTTTAGTATTTTTTAAAAAAATTTTAGAGTATGTTTACTTTACTGTTACATGTACTACCCTCAAATACTGATTCATTGTTTAAAATATTAAAAAAAAGACATGGTGTACTTCTTTTACTGCACCACGGTTTATTTAGAAATTTCATTATTTATGGAAATGAAGAACTCTGTTTTTTTTTCTTTTTTGTGTTAATAATGTATTTGATTTGTTTGTCCCATTTATTTAGTGCTTATTTCCTTATGAGTGTTCATTTAATATTTGTCTATTTCTAGGTTGTTTTTTAAACCTTAGGTTCTCATGGCCTCATTTGGGTGAAGATTTAACTTTATCTTACTCCAAATTACTGTGTTGGCTATTATTCCAATTTTTTTCAGTTGTAACTGTACAAGGGTTGTTACATTATAAAGTTCCATATTGATTTTAATGAACTACAAGTAAGGATCAGGAATTGGAATAGTTTACTTAAAAGTTATAGCCTCAACAAAATTATTTGGTATAAAAATATTTTTAATACATATAACCTTTGCATCAATGAATGGTCTAGTTATCCGTATTAATTCATTGTAGTAGCTACTATCCATACAAATTATTTAAAAACTCTTCGAATGTGAAAACAAGTAGCAAGTCGATCGTGCAAAAAATTACAATCAAGTTTTTCAATAAACTACTGCCTCGACTCAACGATTAGCAAGCCGTTCATGCAGTCTTTATCTGAATGCCGCCTCAATGGCTGAGGGCTACAATAGAAAAAAAAAAAAAATTACTAAACCAGCGTGGAATAAAAATCTCTGATACGCTTCTGCTGGTTGGGCACGACTTCAAAGCGACTGTAAGCGTTCATATTTTCAAGGAAAAATTACTGCTACGCAGGAGCGTCTACTTTCCTCAATGGGGCAGATCCGTCTTCTAACTCCGCTCTTGCAGTACGCGCCAGCGGCGAGCCTCGCCAAAAAACTAAGATACAGCGCGGGGGAGTGGGCCACACACAAGTGCAAGAATATCAATTACA